CCGTACGGTGGAGGTGGGACCGGGTATGGATACTGGCCGGGATACATCATCGGCTGTTGTCGATATGGCTGACCGGGTGTTGGGTACCCCGGTTGAATGTAGTTCACCGGCTGTTAGGCGGCCGGGTATGTGTTAGATGGATGCGGTGGTGAGAGATTGAGGTTGATGTCCATGGTCTGACCTTGTTGTTGCGTTGCCTGGTGGTCGGATGAACTTGCTGCATCCGCCTGGTCGTCAGCAAAAAGGTTTTGTGCCCACGGATACATTGTTGATGAAGGACTAGGTGCTCGTCAAGACGTTTGCTTTATTGCACGGGTCCCCACGGACGGCGCCAAAATGATACTGCTAATTACTACGTAAGCAATAATTAAACAAACCCGAGACCAAATAAAGCAAGTAAATATCTTTATTGATCACGGTGAAGGCCCTAAGTACAATCTACTTGGTTGCTCTGAGTACCGACTGACTGCGGTCGGGATTCTTTAACAACAACCTATCGATCGTCCAAAAGCCCCTCACACTGTAGCTACTGTGGGTATTTATAGCCGCTGCGCCGGAGACACAAATCCGGTCATTCGGCATGCTCTCCACGTAGCCACCACGTGTCATCCTCCCGGGTGCCTTGTCTGTCGTCGTAAAGAACCACCATGTCCTTTGTCAGCTCTCTCGCAAAAGGGCTACCGCTCGGTGGTTGACACTGCCGCTCGGGCAACTCCCGGTCGGACCCCGACCGGGTTCTTCACACGAAGCCCGACTTGTTACCTGCAAAGACAAGAAGAAAAAGACAAAGGAAGACCAGCCGGGGTAAAATAATGTCGGTCGGGATATTCCCTACCATATATATATATATATATATATATATATATATATATATATATATATATATATATATATATATATATATATATATATATATATATTTCATTGTCATTTAAGTTGTCATGACATACTGTTAGGTGTCACTCGATGACTTATGAATTATTAAATATTGTTGGTTGCTAGTTTGGTTATAAACTTAGAAAGTCACACCTTAATGCTCTGTGGTAATGCAAACAAGTTTAAAATAAATTGATTAGGAGTTATCGATATTTAATTAATACAGTAACAGTTGATTAATGAATTAATTTAATTTAATTTGGGTAGTTTGGGTTTTTAAATGATAACATCTTTGGGCTAAAACTAAGCTATATACATAATAGTTGATTAATGAATTAATTTAATTTGAGTAGTTTGGGTTTTTAAAGGATAATATCTTTGGGCTCAAACTAAGCTATATAAATAGTATATATAGTTATGCTGTCCATCCGTATGCAATCGTTATACCCTACACCACGGCTCGCGTAGCACTGTGCGCCGCGCGCCTCCTAAAACGATGTCGTTTTGGGGTCGTTTTGGGAGGCGCGGTAGGAAGTTGCTGTAATTATGTATATTTGTTCATACAATTATGTATATTTGTTCATACAGTTATGTACATTTTTTATACAATTATGTACATTCTTTTTATACAATTATGTACATCCGAATCAAAAAATTTGTGTGTATTATGTTAAGAGTTGATGTGTATTATGTTAAAAGTTTATGTTTATTATGTATTATGTTAGATTATGTGTATTATCTTTTAAAAAGAGTATGTATATTTTGTTATATAATTATGTACATTCATGTATACAATTATGTGTATTCTAGTATAACATTATGTACATTTTTGAACATGGGTTTTTTTTTTAAAGAAAAATTAACTGCCATACACTGGGGCGAGAAATTTCAACAAAAAAGAAAAATAAAAAATTAAAACGACGTCGTTTTACATCTGGGCGCACAGTGCAACGCGCGCCGTGGTGTAGGATATAAATTGCCATCCGTATGCACCATGCGTATGCATACGGATGCAAAAACGACGTCGTTTTATTAAAAACTCGCATCCCACCTAAAAAAAATCAGTTTCGATTCCCCTCAACAGCATTATGTTGTTCATTCATTCTGGAATTTTAGTTCATTGATTCTGAAATTTTAGTTCATCGATTCTGGGATTTTAGTTCATCGATTCTGGAATTTTAGTTCATAGATTCTGGAATTTTAGTTCATTCATTCTGGAATTTTAGTCCATAGATTAGATTCTGGAATTTTAGTTCATTCATTCTGGAATTTTAGTTCATAGATTCTGAAATTTTAGTTCATCGATTCTGGAATTTTAGTTCATATGTTGTTGCTAGGAATCGAAACTGAATTTTTTTTTTTTAAGTGAGACGCGCGTTTTTAATTAAACGACGTTGTTTTTTCATCCGTATGCACCATGCATGGTGCATACGGATGCACAACATAATTTGCCATATAAATAGCCTTGCCCTTTTCTTGAAAAAGATAAAATATATTTTTGATAGAAAGAAAAATATTTATTTCACGTAAAATCTTTAGAAGTTCTCATGGGTCCGGCCGGTGGACGAACTAGAGGCCGGACAATTGGACGGTTGAAGTTTTGATTTTGTCAAAGCACACTTCAAGGGTAAGATTGCTCAACTCCCTCAATAACGTAAAATATATGAGAAAGCGTTTGATGCTTCCGCTGCGTGTATGTGTATATTTTTCTAACAGTTATAAGTCGTGTTGCTTATTAAAAAAAAAAAAACAAAAAAAAAAAACTCTGTTTTTAGGTCCTAGAAAAGTATTGCTACTTGAACCTTTGTGGCTTATACTTCTACTGCATGTATAAACCCTTGTTGCTCTCAAGTATTACTGCTTGTTGAAAACCCTTATTTGCTAATCATTTTTGTTGTGCTGATATAACCTTTATGTTAGCCTCTTGAAAGTCTTGTTGGTTGTAGAACTCTTACTACTTGTAAAACTCCGGCCTATTGCTTAGATGATGTTAGCAACTACGCACACCTCCCCCCCCCCCCCCCCCCCCCCCCCCCAAATAGAACTCTTACTATTAAATACCCATGTTGTATTGTAGACTCGTGCAACTACTAACTCTTGCTAACCAATGACTTCACTTATGACATTGACACTAAAGCCTTGATGTGATGAACACCTTTGGACTCCATCACTTAGTGATTTTTGTAGCGAACAAAAACTACATGTTTAATCTATAAATTTAAAGTTTTGAGGGGAGGGTGTCTAAAGTCTATTCTTAAAATACAATTTGACTCATCAAAATCTAATTATATTTTTTCCTAACATAGTAACATATGTAATAGAAAAGTTATATATTATTGAGAACTCAAGCACAGTTAATACCGAGGCCCTCTTAAGAATGACTAGTCTCGTGTAAAGAGAATAATTCATTCCTATAAATGTTATTTTCAAAAATAAAAAGTCATAACAAACAATGAAATATATTATAAGTTTATTTCTAAGCATATTATTCTATTCATTCTTCCAAAAAGTTAAACCCCAACCTTAACAGGGCGTTTGGTTGGAGGGGGGGAATTATGTGAGAAAGGAATTGTAATTCCATGAGAGTTGAATTACTGGGAATAAAGTGGGAATTTAAATTTCAGTGTTTGGTTGACAGGAATAGAATTACTGGGAATTTCAATTCCAATGTTTGGTATACATGGAAATTGAAAGGGAATAAGTAGTATAATGTCAAAAATGTCCATTATTGTTGTTAGCCATTAATTTTAAGTTGAAAAATGAAGGGGTAATTTTGACTTATCACTATCGTTTTTTCCCAGGAATTAAAATCCTAGGGGGGGACATGGGATTTTAATCCCATGAAAATGGGAGAATTGCAATTCCATGGAATTACAATTCCCTCCAACCAAACTACGGAATTTAACGGCCTTTGGAATTAGGTGGGAATTAAGTGGGAAAAAATTTTAAAATCCCTCCAACCAAACGCCCTGTAAGGGCTCCCCACACTCCAACCCGACAATATTATTCTATTCATAACTTATTCTATAAATCAAACCTGCCTTAAATTACAATTTCAACTATTTAATAAATTTGTCAATATAATCAATCATATATTTACTACAATATATAGTTTGTTAGAATTAAACACACTTCTCCCAAAGTTCTTGTGCTCAAAGCACTTGATGAATGGGATTACAAGGAGAACTATACTAATAGAATAGGGAGGGAGAATTCCCCCTTAACACTTCGCCAATGCTTACTTTGGCTTGAGGCTCTTACAAAGATTCTTATTCTACTCAAGTAATCCGGGAGTGATCACAAACATTTTTGTGATTGGTCTTACCATGATAAAGATGGAAAGAAACCAATTGTTTATAATTTCTGTTTTGTTGCACATGTACTTTGGTGCCATATTTGATAGGAAAATTAAATATTACATAAACTTTCATTTCTTACTCTAACTCTCAATTTCTAGTCACTCTAACAAATTCTTGATGTATACACTTTTCATGTGACTCACATGAAGAAAATATCATATCTTTATTTACCACATCACAGAGTAAAAGTGAGAGAGTAAAATTTTGGAGTACATATAGTGAAATTCTAGTCGGTATGTGCTAAGCGCTAAGTCATGTGCCCATGTATGTCTGCACTAGTACCATTGGGCTCGGGCTCTCCAGGTTGGAGTAGAATGTGAATTGGACTCCTTATATGTATAGTAAGGTGGAAGACTAACTGAAAGGTTGTTCGTTTTTGTGACTTGCGATTTCGGGTTAAGATTTTTTTTTTTTTTTTTTTTTTTTTTTTTGGGTTAGACCATGAGGTGTCCTAAGCATGCCCTAACTATAAAAAAAAAGACTTTTAAACCCGTACCGTACTCAGATTAATCTCCATTCACACAGGACTGGCTCAATTAAGAGACAAAAGAAAGTGATAATCAGATTGATTTTTTCATACAAAAGAGGGATCCAACTTCTAACGAGAATACGCAATCACTCATGCTAATCCAACTAAGATTAGTGCAGCCTGAACAGGGAAAACTACGTACTAAAAAGAAATTGCAGCCACTATTGTCATAGGAGATCCATAGCTCCACGTGGCGAAGCGACGTTAGCTGAAAATCAGAGAAGATAGCAGCACAGTCTGGGCACAAGAATTGGTGGCTGAGAATTGCCACGACGCTACGAAATCGGTAGCGTATTCCTCCTTGCTACTGCTTTTCAACACTTTCTTCTTACCTCGTATCTCCCCTTCTTCATCTCATCATTTCTCAGAAACCAAGACCATGGCTGCTGCTTCTTTCCAGCTTGCAAGCCTTCAAGTCCAAGGCTCGCCGCTCCAAAAATCCACCTTTCTGGGCCAAACTCACATCTCCAATCTCCCTCTCAGACCACCGCCAAAACCACCCGCATCCTTTGCACTTCAAACCCCCGTCGCTAAATTCAACCTCTTCGAAGTCCTCGGAGGCAGAGGTCTCTGCAACGGCGAGGAAGGGCTGGAGAAAGAGCTCAAAAAGAGCGTCTCCGAGGGACCGTCTAGCCTTACTAAGAAGGAGAAAGAAGAGGCGGCTGTGGCGGAGGAGGGCTTCCCGGAGGATGCGTTTGGAAAGGAGCTGCTAGGATTCACCGGCGGATTCCCCGGCGGCGAGACGGGGCTGCAGAAGTTCATCGAGGAAAACCCTCCGCCGGCGGCGAGTAGTTCCGGTGGGTTTGATCTGAGGCAGGTGAAGAAACCGAAGCCGCCTGAACTGCCTATGCTGTTGCCGGGGATGATTGCCATCGTGAAGAACCCGGAGAGCCCTTATCACATGTACTGCGGCATCGTGCAGAGAATCACCGACGGCAAGGCCGGAGTGCTGTTCGAAGGTGGGAATTGGGATAGACTGATCACGTTCCGATTGGATGAGCTGGAGCGCCGGGAGAAAGGACCTCCCATGGTCAATCCCAGGTCTGCTATACTTGAAACCATGGTAGAGAAGAGCTCAGAAGCTTAGCTAGCTTCAGCTCCAGGCATTGCTTCCATTTTGTAAATAGTAGCTTTGAAGTTTGAGGTGTTAATACTAATGACTTTGTAATCTGCATCAACGTAATGAATTTCAGAAATGCAAAATGGGTTGAAGCATCAACTTGGAGACTACACTTCTACATTCATCATGTACTGATCAGAGACTAGCCCCAACTACTTAATCAATCAAAAATAATTTTATAGGTGTCCTGCATTTAGGGACATATAAGCTAGTTGAGGCACATTTAGCTTTTTTTTTTTTTTTTTTTTTGAAACAAAATTCATTCATTAATTCATGTCAAATTGTAAAGCACGAACAACAGATCGAGGAAAACAGATAGGAAAAACAAGTCGCACAATCTGACTTTGATAGGGTTTCCCTTGCTAACACATGAGCAACCTTATTCACATATCACTTAACAAACAAAAACAATAGATATGTAAATTCTGTATCTAGTTCTCTAATGTCATTAATAATTAAGTCAAAAGAAGAGACCAACCAGCAACTCTGAATTCTTGTAATTACTGGGAGGCAGTCACACTCAACTTGCCCGTAGTCAATATTGAATTCCTTCAGTCATTTTAAAGCCTCTCTGATCCCAATTGCTTCTGCTTCGCCTAGTTTGAGAATGTCGTATCAAGGGATTTCCTTCGCTTCAATGAAGCCTCCATCAAACCCCTTAATACATGCACATCCGAGACCAACCTTTCTAATGTCCGCAAATTATGCCCTGGAAACGGGTCCAAACAGCGCCGTTTTTACGAAAATAAAAAATAAAAATTCGCTAATGCGGTGTTAACGGCGCGCGTTTGGTCAGATTATGAATTTTCTGTTATGAGATTATGAATGTATTGTACATTCATAATCTCATAACAGAAAATTCATAATCTCATAACAAAAAATTCATAATTTATGAATGTTGAAGAAGCTTGAGCTACAGAGGAACAACCATGGTTTCGGACGGGAATGTGTAGGCATGGTTCCAAAGTGAATGTGCAGGCATGGATTCATAATTTATGAATATCCGAAATCATTGCTCACCTCAAATTAAAGTGAAACCGCGAGATGTGAAAATGAAGAAGAAAAGTCACGCGATTAATTAAGGGGAAAAAAAAAAGAAAAAAAAGATAACGGTGTACTAACACCGTTGGGGCTGTGTTCACCATGGATGGTGAACACGGTTCCATGGCATAACGATTGTCTAATGTCGAAGGTTGCATCCACATTCAGTTTAGACCACTCATCTGGAGGTTTGGACCATCCCTGACACATTGCTATCCCTACTTTTGGACTGTGGGTCAGTTCGAACAATGGTTTTTATTGCTTTGCCCAGATTGAGCAGGTTTATATTTTAACTCGACTAGACCAATTTAATTTAAATAATAACTAGATAGATTGTGGGTTAACCTGCCCATATGACATTACTTAGAAGAAGAGAGATATAGAGAACTGAGTGTCTTGATAGAAAAAAAAAAATGTCTTTCGTGTAAAAATCATGGAAGACATTTTTCGCCAAAATGATTTATTTTTCCTTTAACTAGAATGAATACTTTCCGTTGATGTCATTTTTTGTTCATAGTCAAACTGTTGAGATATTTGATGATATTAATCATCTATATTAATAGTCATGTGTCTCTTGAGTTTTCCATATGTCTTTTGGGTTTCCCATGTGTCTTTTGGGTTTTCTATGTGTCTCTTTGTTTTCTCATTTGTATTTATTTTTCATCATCTTGTTAGCACTATATATACAAGTGCTTGTATTGAAGTTGACACAAGACACAATATATTAGTTTTTCCTTTTCTTCTTGTTTATTTGTATTCTACACAAACACTGAAAACTCCAAACAAGTTTCCACACTAATCCTTAATCAGGTTAAATGCTTTGATTTATGAGAAGTTTGCAACCACTACACAAAGTGTGTGTTCTGGGTGAATCTCGCATTGTAACCCTAACTAGAAAATGACTACAAAGAGGAATAAAACCAGCCTAGGTTATACATAATTGACTGATTCAAACCAAGAAAGTATATAAACAATTTTCTATATGAGTTAAAACTTTGTGATTACCAAGTCAAATGTCGGACGAATAATTTAACTGAGGCTGTCTTTATTAAATGCTAATTCATGAGTATCCAATAATTAATTAAGAAAAAGATCACACTTTTTATTTCCTTAATTATTTTTCATTTTTGAATGTGATTTCTTAATTGTCACAAGTGAGCAAATATGGCATCTCAACTTATTTACTACAGTTGTAAATTTGGTGCATCCGTCTAATGGAACGTACTAAGTAACAATCAAATTAAAGAACTAATTGACAAATTGAAGAAAAAAATTAAAGAGTTTTGGGCACATTTGTTCACTTAAAAGTTGAAGGACTATATTTTAAATAAAAAGTAATTATATTAAAGAACTAATTCGCATTCAAAAAAAAAAAAAGAACTAATTCAAATTGACAAATTGAACAAAAATTAAAGAGTTTTGGTCACATTTGATCACTTAAAAGTTGGTAGACCAATTTTAAATAAAAATTAAAGTTATTAATAGTGATTAATATATACCGATTGCAAAACCAACAAAAGAGTGATTGTATTAATGAATCAAAGCTGCAATCGAGTCAGGAGGGATAGCATCTCAATACATAGATTGTTCCTGAGTAAAAGCTAAAGTAGCTAGAACATGTGCATACGAATTAACATGCCTTGTAACATAATTTAACGAGCAATAATTAAACGAAGACATTAAAGTCCTACATTGGTTCACTACGACCCCAACATAGGACATTATAATCGTTGATTTCTGACGTATAGTATTCCGAAGTTGCGTGCAATCTGTGAGGAGGTCGATCGTCGTTGTATTTTTCTCCAGCAGCCAGGATAGAGCCTCCTTACAAGCTAAGCCCTCCGCCATAAACGGAGAAAAACAATTCGGAAGTCTTCCATTTCGAGCCGCCAAAAAGGATCCATCCGACGATAGTAGCACTATACCGTATGTAGCCTCTCCCGTGGCCTGCCGGATGCCGGCATCTATGTAACATCTTGGCCTGGCATAACCTCCATCCGCCGTAGCAGTCGGCACAGGTTCTGGACGAAGAAAAGAGGAATGCAAAATTACCTTTTTACCCTTAAATTTAACAGCTCATAGATGGAATTTTAACGGAGGACTAAATCGAGTAAAATTTTAATAGTTGAGGACTTAATTTGGTAAGGATTATAGTCGAGGACCAAATTGGTAGTTTCGCAATAGTCGGAGGACTAAATTAGTTATTAACTCGATAAAGAATCTATTATCTATACATTTCACACTATATGGTAAACTTCTTTTAGCAAATAGACACCATTTTAAGTGGTAGAGGAGAAAATCAGTGTGATACCTATGACATTTGTCCAGTGAATGAGGAATCTAACTTAAAATTTGTTTTTAGCATTTAGATTAGGTTCGGTTTTTTCACAACCATTGAAAGTTTGAGCTTGGGTTGGAGTCTTTGTGTTACCTCCTTATGAGCTTGGGTTAAATTTACAAGGTCCAGAATATAATATGACGAAGTGAAAAAACCTTAGGTTATAAAAAAAGAAATTCAGTGTGCTTGAATACTTTAGAATCTATGTGTGTACATTTCTATCCCTATAATTAATTAGGTTATGTCTAAATCATGATGCCAATACACAACTCATTTTTACATGTAGTGGCATTTGAGTCAGGTTGAATGGCATAATATTTTATCATTAGATTTATTCAACTTTAGGGGTACCTGCGATAAGATTATAAGCCGACTTTAGTCACAAAATTAAACCTTTAACCCATCTTCCCTGGTCATCACACGAATGAGCCCTCCGGCACTAGCCATACCTGTATTAGCTTTCATCGCCCCATCAATATTCAATTTCATCCACCCCGGTTGGGGGTTCGACCAGCTTACCCATTTTTGTTGGCCTTGCGAAACACCTTTATTATTGACGATGAAGGTTCGGGCCTCCATGGCCATGCTGCGAGTTGTTCCTGTAATGTGTGTTGCGGTTTCTCTCTTGCTATTAAAGATGAGATTGTTTCTAGCTTTCCAAATGAGCCAAAGGATATACACAAACGTAGAGCTCCAGGCAGTGCCATCATGCATGACGATGTTGTTTTGGCAGTTTTCCTTAATACATGTACGTGTTAATGGGGGAGTAACTAACGAGACCAGCTCCACAACCAGCTTTGGCTAATTCCCAGCACTCGACCGCAAGGAGGCAATCGTCAGCTTGTGTTTCACTCTTTCAACGTTGGTGAGGAGTTTGTTTCTAAGAAGGAGCGACATGAAGGTTTTGACTTTCTCTACCACCTTTAGCTTCCAAATCCAAGTCCAGCTCTCCTCATCTCGCGGGGTACCTGCGATAAGATTATAGGCCGACATTACTGTACCTGTGGTGCGATCTTGTAACACCCTACTTTTCTAAAACTAAATCCCAAAATACTTTAACTTTAAACAAGATAAAAAGCAAGATTAATTAACTAAAATCCAACGAAACCAACAAGTAGGGTGTCACCGCCACAGTCACCACTCATGATGACTGCACAAGCTATAAAGGGTAACTACTAGAGTTAATCTCAACAAAAACATCAAAAACTACTTCAATACTTAGGGAACAAACCCCAGTGTCCTAACACCAGCAAAAGATCAACAACAGAATCTAAACATCAATGCTCATGATAGAATCTATGTGACAATCCAAAATTTAATTTCATAAATCCGATTTTAAGAAATTTCAAAATAGCCATTTTTTCACTCTATAAAAATTTTTGAGGTAAAATTGGCGTTTGAATAAATTATTTTGATTTACATTTTAAATGAATTTCACACCGGAACTTATTTTAATTCTAAAATCCTAAATTTTCGGGTACTTCACATACCAAGTTTTAAACTGAGAATTCAATCTGAGTGAAACCGGGAGAAACATGAGGAACCTAAAATAAGTGGTTGTCTAGAAAGTATTTTTGGAAAATTAAATTTTTGACCCCAAAACTATTTTTTAAACTATGATTCTATACCTTGGTCCATGAAGCTTGGTGAACCACTAGACTCCACATCTCTTTGCCTGATATTTTTTGCAAGCTAAGCTAAATTACCATTTTGCCACCAA